TACAATTACCGATACTAATTTTGTAGCCAATGACTGTAATGAATCCGGCAGCAACTGGGAGGCCGCCAACATTGGAATAGGTGCACACTTACATGAAGTAGGCCATTTGTTTGGATGCCCCCATCAAGAGCACGGGGTAATGCTTCGGGACTACGTCACGTTGAACCGATCATTCACCACCAGAGAGCCTTATTCAACACGCACCAGATCGAAGGGAGGGCTGGTTTTACCAAGAGACGAATGCACATGGCATAGGCTAGACACTCTACGCTTTCGAAGTCACCCATCTTTCGCACTCCCCACAGATCCTCCGCGAGCTAACGATGAATCCATACAAGTATGGCCTGTGGATAATGGCAGTGTGATAATTACAGCGGCATCTGGTGTAGCTTTCCTCGAGATATTCACGGATGGCGAGGATCTTTGTCACAATTGGCAAGAGTTTGGAGATGGGAATGGCAATGGACCCATTCAACGACAAATTACTCTTACAGAGCAAGATCTAAGAAATCAACTACCCGAAGACCGTCGAAAATCGAAACTGAAGATATCCGTAAAGTCGTTCGCTGGTGGTAGCCATGATGTTGATGACTTTGCCCAACTCGTCTCAAAAGCCAGTAAGCTAAAATTGAAGAATGGACAGATGGCCTTCAGGAGCAGTAAGCTGGGTGCATCACAGATGGACGGAACCCAGCCACAAGAAGTCGTCTTTGACAGTTCAATTCATCAAACGAAACTGATGATACAAGTGAGAGTGTAAGTTAAAAACTTGTTTCAACCCGGTTGGAAGGATCACATTGGGTCGTCCTTCTCAAATTCTTAAGAAACTCCACCTAAGTACGACCACTGACTTGCATTTTAGCTGGGCGGGCTTCGCTCTCGACGGTATAGAGTTTATTTATGAAGATGCGACCTCTCAACTTTTTGGCAAGAGGGGTGGATCTTCCGCAGATTTCAATCTTGGTATGTGACCAGAATTCCCAAAGTTTCCGCCTGAATTACTAATATCTTGTTAGATACACGTCGTGGAGAGTACATTACTGGATTCTACGTCAGAAGTGGGTTGTGGTTGGACGGAATTGCAATCATGACTAGTTTAGGCAGGAAGTCCCAGGTTTTTGGAAACCCTGCTGGTGGTTCTGGGTTAGTATATTCCCATCCTGCGCCGGTGCTATATCACATTAGTTGCTATGACTTACAATAGTTCATATTATTACATCCGGCTATTCGCATAAGATCTCGCTAACACTTCCAGGCATACTTTGATACCCCCGAGAGGATACACTATCGCAGGCGTTTCAGGATCATGTGCATCATGGATTGATGGGTTTGGTATCATTCTTACTCGGTAAAAACATGCAGATAATCGCCGGGGAAGCGAACAGTACGCATTAATATTGTATAATTTGGTTTGGGAAGACGTGGTTCGAACGGTTCTACAGATTACCGTTTATCCTATGATATTTATTTTTCGGGGTGGTTAGTAACAATACCTAGGTAAAAGCTTCAGTGCGAATGGCGTGACTTGGGCATATCTATAGAGGCGTTTTAGAATAAATGACAGATTTTCCAGTTTCTGACAGTCTTGACTGAAGTGATTGCGGAATATATCTGTGAAACACATCTGTGGAATATATCTGTGAGCTGTGCATGTTTTCCGAGTCCCACTCAAAGTTCTCGGCAAGAATGATTGTATCACCAAGTACATGATTGGTTACCCCCAAAAATATGTATGTAATAAATGACCAGTTCGAATTCGATCTTTGTCCTTGGGGTTAAAAGGCTGTGCAATCCATTCAGATTCCTTCCAAGGCAATAATAACAAGTGCTGTTGGTGTTTAAGGTTTGCTCAAGCCCCTTGTTCAGCTGTGGCTTGGCGATCCCTCAACGTCATGGCTGGTAAAACCAAGCTCTTCAAACGAAAAGAAAACAAACCTAGAAAATCACTCTTCCCCAAAAAGGCTCAAAACCAACAACCTCACGATACCCTCACATCTTTTTTACACCTTGAATACTCAGTTTGAGTTGATATATCTCAGATGTCGAAAAGAAATAGCGGCAATGCCGCAAATGGCGCAACAAAGGATTCAACAACCGGTGGGCCAGGTATGTTTATGATTGCTCCTTTGATTACCCCTCCCCCTCTTGGGTCAATAGATGGATTTCATACTATTGTATCGTGTGCTAACGGATGCTCTAGCTATGGACAAACAAAAGAGGTTGTTAGAGAAAGATACGGGGCATTTCTCCATGATCAAGATGTTGCATCTTGCGGATTTGATTACCGAACTCAATGGTAATTCTACTTTTCTAAAAGTCTCTCGCACAAATTGACTAACTGCTACAAATCAGGGTTCTGTGGTGTTATGTCTGTATTCGCCTCGATGCGATATTGTCTAGGTCCATCAGATGCGCACGGAAATCTCTGGGCGGCTTTAGCTTTTATGCCTTTTGGATTGTTCTTCGATTTCATGGATGGGAAGGTTGCCAGATGGAGAAAGAAGAGTAGTATGATGGGTCAAGAATTGGATTCTTTGGCGGATTTGGTACAGTTCTTCCTGGCAGTTTCATGCGTGTCGGAATTTTGGTTCTAACGATTTCCTCCATAGGTCTCCTTTGGTGTTTCTCCCGCCGCTGCAGCTTTTGCTATCGGTATCCGCACTCCTCTCGACCACCTCTTCCTTACTTTCTTCGTCCTCTGCGGTCTCACCCGTCTAGCCCGTTTCAATATCACCGTAGCCAATGTTCCTAAGGATGCCACTGGAAAGAGTAAATATTTTGAGGGCACGCCGATCCCTACTTCCCTTTCCATTGCCGCATTAATGGCATACTGGGTATCCAAGGGCTGGATCTTGGACAATATACCATTAGGGACGGTTGGCACTGGTACTATTTTTGAATTTCATCCTGTTGTGGGACTTTTTGTTCTTTGGGGCTGCATGATGACTAGTAAGACCATTCATATTCCTAAGCCATGATTAAAACATCATACTTGGGATCGATTGTGGATTACGAAGGGAGGAATGTGGTGGGAAGAAGGGATGGCAATAGACATATCCGGCTTGGTGGTGAGGTGGAGATGAAGCATGTATTATGATACCTTGAAGTTTATGAACTGGCGCAAATATACCTATTAAATGCAATCCTCTTCTCAAGTTATGTTCAACGGCCATATGCAAGTGAAGAAGTCGTTGATTTGTTTCGCCATGAGACTGTGATATGGTTCTTACAGGGTTTCTCTCTTATACTCGATGGTTGAAACTTCAATCAGCCATCATTCGAATAAGGAATTCAGTAACCAATAATATAAATAAACATTAAGTCATTTCTGCACATAATATCAACAGTGAACAAATTTTTCCAGCACCTGCAGTTTTCATCTTGTGATCAAATTGAGAAGAAGTATTGAATTGCTAACTTCTATGAGATGGAGAGCGAGAAAGATTATATGCATTTTTGCGTTGGTAATCAGCGAATTAGATAGGCACATGAAATGTGTATAGGATCGAAGACCTGGCTAGATATTCGAGTTTCTCTTAGGGGACGTTCTTTGGATAAGAGTATTGTCTCTCTAAGAGTAGATGAAGGCCAAATATATAGAGAAGGTAATGTGACTGGAGGCTTTTCGATCTGTAATCTTTGGGCGGGTGATTGATCTCAATTTAGATCAGGTTCTCTTTGGTAAAGTATGTGTAATATGTTGCCCGAAGCTTCATGATTTTCCTATCGTCCACCGACTATTGACTAAGAAAGTACAATTTTTGCACAGAAGTTCGCAGCAGCCCAAGCCGTACCAACAAACATATCCCTAAACGCCATATACCCAGATTTGGTCTACTTCAGTTCTTTATCCTACCGTTTTTAACGTCCACCTCTGGAGAATCCTCCTCTCGATCCACCTCTCGCGCCACCTCGAGGAGTGAAACCACCACCTCCTCGAGAGAAACCACCACTACCACCACCTCTGGAGAATCCTCCGCTGCCACCTCTTGGTGTGAAACCACCTCTTCCTCCACGTGGCGCACCTCTTCCACCACCTCGTCCACCTCTCATTGGTCCTCCTCTACCTCCTCTGGCACCACCGGCTCTCTTTGGTTTTGGTGCTCCTGGAGGTGGCTTTGGCTTTGGAAGGAATTTCTCCAAAGGAAGAAGTTTGTCGCCGCCGATGTAAAATTTGTCGCCAGTCTTGAATGAAGTAGCTTGGATACCTTCGGTTGGCTTGATGGTGAAGTAAACTTGGTTGATGGGGCCGAGAATCTCGTCGACTTTACCAATTGAGGTCTATCAATTGGTTGTTAGTCTATTTTTTATAAAAGGGGTTTGAATTGAGAATTACATACCTTGTTCTCTAGGTAGATTGGCGCATTGAAGTAAGGAATTTTAGTATTGATGGATTCGCAGACAATTTCTCCTTCACTGGCATGAAGGAAAGATCCCATAGCTGTCTTTAATTAGCAATTGGCTCTAACAATGCGAAAAGAAACTATCATACCAAATACATCTGCTGGAGGACCATTGTCTCTTTGCTGGAAACCACCGCGTCCTGGTGTAAATCGTTAGCAATTGCGCACAAATTGATCTGCTCAAAATCGCAAAAGAGTATTAACGTACCTCCACCACGACCACCGAATCCTCCTCTACCACCACTGAAACCAGCATTTGCGCCGGTACCGCGACCGCCTCTTGATCCGCCTCGGAAAGACATTGTTTGATGTTGGCGATTGTTCGAGGGTGTTTTGGCGTTATCGTTGGAGAGGTACAAAAATTAAAGCTCTCCAAAAAATTATTCGAAGCGAAAACTGGGTAGCGTGGAGCCAAAGATGAGAACGATTTTCATTGGTCAGACATACTTAGTCATCTGCAGAGTGCACGGTCCATGTGAGAAGGGACAAACGTTACAATAATTGGAGTCATAAAAATATTCAAAAGAGTTCACCGTCTAGTTGTACTTGACTCCTCCCAAGTACAGCAAACTTCGAATAACAACCTCTCGAAACACCATGGAACAGGCAAAGGAGGCAGTTGAGAAGGTGGCAGAGGGTGTCAAAAATGTTGCCATTGGAGAGAAGAAACCAAAAGCACCCAAAGCACCAAAGCCTAAGAAGGAGAAGGGAGGGGATAGTGGGGTCGATGCCGGACCTTTAGAACTCAACCCAGCGCCAGAATTTATCGCTCATCGCATAGCAGTTTTCGACAAACTGAAGGCAAAATATGACGCGGAAATCGCTGCAAAACCAAGAGATCCCATCACCATTACTCTTGCGGACGGATCTGTTAAGGAGGGTATTGCTTGGGAGACCACACCCGCCCAAATCGCAGAGGGAATCTCGAAGAGTCTTCTCAAGCGCACCGTTGTTGCGAAATTGAATGGGGATTCTGAGCAACTATGGGATTTGGAGCGACCCTTAGAGAAGGATTGCACACTTGAGCTGCTCCCTTTCGAGAACGAAGAGGGCAGAAGAGTCTTCTGGCATTCTAGTGCTCATATCTTGGGCGAAGCCTCAGAAAGACGATTCGGTTGTAGTTTGTGTATCGGCCCCCCAATCGACAATGGTTTCTACTACGAGATGGGTCTGCCAAATCAAGGAACAGTCACTGACGCAGACTGGAAGCCCTTGGAGACATTGGTCGGTCAAATTGTCAAGGAGAAGCAAAAGTTCGAGCGACTGGTCCTTTCTAAGGATGATCTTCTGGAGATGTTCAAGGACAACAAGTACAAGCAACACATCATCAAGGACAAGATCGCTGATGGAACCAACACCACTGTTTATCGTAACGGACCTCTTATCGATTTATGTCGAGGTCCTCACGTCCCTAACACTGGCAGAATCGAGACATTTGCTATCATGAAGAACTCAGCATCTTACTTCCTTGGAAATAAGGAAAACGACTCTTTGCAAAGAATTTATGGTGTCTCATTCCCAGATAAGAAGCAAATGGCTGAGCACAAGAAATTTCTGGAAGAGGCTGCAAAGCGTGATCACCGAAAACTTGGTAAGGATCAAGAATTATTCTTCTTCCACGAAATGTCACCTGGATCTGCCATGTGGTTGCCACACGGTGCTCGTATCTATAACACAATCATGTCATTTTTGAGAGAGCAATACTGGACCCGTGGCTACGAAGAAGTTATTACGCCAAATATGTACAATTCCGAACTTTGGAAGACCTCTGGTCATTGGGCGTATTACAAGGATGACATGTTCACATTCCCTGTCGAGAAGGATACTTTTGCTTTGAAGCCCATGAACTGTCCTGGCCATTGCTTGATGTTTGGTCACCGTGAGCGCAGTCACAGAGAATTGCCTTGGCGAGTTGCAGATTTCGGTGTTCTTCATCGTAATGAAGCTTCGGGTGCGTTGACCGGTTTGACTAGAGTAAGAAGATTCCAACAAGATGACGCCCACATCTTCTGTAGGGAAGACCAGATCAAGGATGAAATCACTGGTTTATTCGACTTTCTCAAGGCTATTTACGGCCTTTTGGGTTTCACCTTCAAGCTGAACCTCTCTACTCGCCCAGAAAAGTACTTGGGTAAACTCGAGACTTGGGATATGGCAGAGGAGAAACTCCGATCTGCTTTGGACGAATTTGCGGCAACTGATGGTGGAGTACCATGGGTACTCAACGAGGGTGACGGTGCTTTCTATGGCCCAAAGATTGATATCACTATTTGCGATGTCCTCAAGAGAGAATGGCAATGCGCTACAATCCAACTTGATTTCCAGTTACCTCAAAACTTTGGACTTGAATACAATACCGGTGATGTACCAACTAAGAAGGATGAAGACGCCGCCAAGGAGCCCATCGTCAAGCCAAAGAAGAATGCCGAACCAGAGGATCCAAATGCTCCACCAAAGGAAAGAGTGTACAAGCCACTTACCCCTGGATGTGCCAGACCAGTCATGATTCACCGAGCTATGGCAGGTAGTATCGAACGTTTCACTGCTATCTTGATTGAGCATTTCGCTGGTAAATGGCCTTTCTGGTTAAGTCCTCGACAAATTCTTGTTATCCCAGTCGGAGTTGGTTACTTTGAATATGCCAAGGAAGTGCAATCCATCTTCCACAAACAACAAATGTTCATTGATGTTGACCTCAGTGGCAACACTCTTCAAAAGAAGATCCGTACAGGCCAATTGGCACAATACAACTTTATTTTTGGTAAGTGGTCACATATGCCTTTTGTCATAGATTAATACTAATACCCTTGAAAGTTGTCGGCGACACAGAAATGAAGGGACGTGAAGTCAATGTTAGAAATCGTGACGATACCTCGAGTCAAGATCGAGGAAAGCCTGTTTCATTGCAAGAAGCAATTGAGAAACTCACAGCACTTCGTGATGAGCGAAGGTCGGATAACCCTTTCCCAGGTGAAGCGAAGCCTGTCGAGGCAGCTGCGGCTCCTGTTGCGCCTGCTGCTTAAAACTGAGATGTTGGAGGAAGGAATTTTAGGAGCATGATAAGATGAGAAGATAAGTACAAAGATGATGAAATAAGAATATGTGAAATACGAGCATGAGATATATGACCACTGCATAAGAAAGGGCGTGAGATGCAATGCGTTTTCCTTGCTGTTAGTTACTAGATTTAGCGTCATATGAGGGATAAGGAGATGAGAAGAATGAAAAGAGAATTACAATTTCATATTGGTTTCGTGGTTTGTAGTGCCGGTCCATTACACAAAACGCAAGCTCATATTTATCATCCTACGTGGAGGGCAGGGAGCTAAGTTCACTTTAAGGTTACCAAGCTTTCGATTAGCGAATATTTCAAAATGCGGAAAGGGATAAAATCTTTTGGCTTGAACGTTAAGCTTGTTTGTTTGTATTGCCTGCCCATTTAAAATATTCAATCCACATGAACGTTCCAATTCATCTGCAAGCTCCAATCCGATTTGAGTGCCCAACACCTTCTCAATTCCTGATCCAGTTGAAAGCTCCGACTCTTTTAAAGGTCCAAATTCATCAGAAAATCTCAACCCAACTAAAGATCTTAACCCATTCCCAACATCCACACTCCCAAGGGATTTCCGACCGTATATCGGCGCGAGGAAGACTCAGTGCGTCGCGACACTGATGACGAAGAGTCGCGTTAAAGTTCGAACGTGATCATGACCGACCGCAGCAAGAGACCCACTCGTATCTGAGCAGAAGAACAACTTCAAAAATGAATTTTCATCAAGAATCGCGGAAATCCTCGGCAGGTTAGTCCGCAGGCGAGGCTTATGTCCTATTCGACCAGATTATACTTCAAAATGTTGGATTGGAATTTCTCTCACGGTAGTTCCCATTACTAGGTTCTAGAAATGTGCCATTGAATTGGTAAGATTTAATGATAGATAGATCATCGGGAATCCCGTTAGGGCACCTCGCTCTAATCTGTGGACTGGTCAGAGCTGTGTCGTACATATGGAGAGACTATACGCGAGTAGAAGTATTGATAAAACTGCGGAGGTCAGTAGTCTAGCGAAGGCGCATGCTCGTGAAACATACCACGTGGTCGGCGGGGTCTATTGAAAGGTACATGGTTGTAAGATTCTGCTTATCTTTGGTGTTTTCGCTGTAAGACACACATAAGAGAAGAATTATTGAATAATCCCACGTAAATCGTTGTGTTTGTCTGGCTGAGGCACGAGGAACGAACGAATGTTTATCGAGAATCTCGAGGATGTCTCGAGGGTGGCGGAAGAGATACTGCGATGGGCGAGGGAGAAGGAATCTAGTTTAGTGAACGCGTTTCCGGTTACTCGCTAGTATCTTTTCTGGCTATTATTACCTTGCTATCTGTAGGTATGCCGAACCAGCGAAATGAGACATTGGGATGTTTCTTCCCGGTTTGAGGGCGGTGGTTGCGCGCGCAGCTTAGTCTGTATTGATAGGTTTGCTTGATGGACCTAGAGGGAAGGGGGAGTTGTATATACCGATAAAGGAGAATGGTAAAAGAAAAAATAGAGATGGTACAGTAAATTATGAGATTAGATGGACAAACCAAAATCATGCTAACAGTTCCATGAAAAAATCTTACCACGAATGAAGTTCCGCATTGGATGAGATATTGAGATATCGATTTTTAGCAGTTGCCTCTCTCTTCTTGTTCTGTATTTTGTCATCCGAATTGATTCTGTTGGACGAAATGAATCATCTCTAAAGGCAGGCTGGAATATTCTGAAGTGTAGATTGAGTGAGAAGATCTCAATTCTTGAATCTGCCTGGGGACCTGGCTCTCTCCGATCTTACCCAATCGAATGAAATACCACGGCATTTCAAACTCTGAAGACCTCACAACGTGATTCTGGTTACAATTCATAAGATCAAACCCTAGGAAGAGGATCTGGCTTCATGTGCATACCATACTGTCAACGAGGTTCTACTGAATTGACGAGAAATTGAGTGAACGAGCTCTTCAAGTACGTACAATGAGATGGACGAATGGTCGATGTAACAACAGATCACTTAAAACATCCGTAGAATCTGAAAACATTTTGAAAAGTTGTTGTTAAGGTTGCGGACTTGCGCCGGTAGGATGAGCTCAAATAAGATTTTAACACCCGGGACTAGCTTACTTTCTCAATCAGAGGATGAAATATTCTCGAGTTCAGTTCTCATCTTTATAGTCTTATTCCCACAAATTTGTTATACTCACCTAGTGGCGACCGCATCTCTCGTAGAGATGTCAAACTGATCGACGTCGACCATGGTAACTTCGCGCCCCAATTACAGACACCGCCAGTATCATTTTCAGAAACCATTAAGCAGAAAATTGTTCCTTCTTCATCTGTCTGTGGTCTTGTAATACGGCTATGGCTACATACCTTCCTCAAGACCACTCGAATCATATCCACCCAGGCACCCTATGAGATTTCCCAACACTTTCACTTTTTTACCCATCAAGTGATCTTTCAACATTTTAGTAACTAACGTGCTTTACTTTGTTGTCTGAAGATGCAACATGGGAGACGGATATAGATATTCATCCAAACCACAAGCCACAAGAAAACTCCCAAAATCGTTCTCGTTTCCTTCCTTTCCCATCCCATCTCAACTCAGCTATTACCCCCCCCCTTCTACTCTCTACCATGATTGCCCTCACCTCCCCTCCCCTCATCCCCCAAATAAAACATCCACTCCCCACCCTTGTCACTATCTCCATCTTTGACAAAGTAAAGTGAAAGTATCCCTTTTCCTCCCCTCCTCGTTACCAAACCCTTCAATAACGAAGAGAGAAGGAGCACATCATAATAGAAAGAAGATCATACGATATTTTACTCACCAGTATGTTTGTGTATAGATTAGGGTCTGAGGATGACCGATTAGGTGGAGAGTACAGTGCTACATAAATTTAAGAGTGAACGAAAACATTATGATCGAGGTATCTTGTTTCTTCCAGTCTTGACATGAAAGGGTCTCTACCCCCAGATATTGCCTCACTAGCAATATTGCATTTCTTCCTGTTCCTCTCTTATTGGCAACATCTCTTTAAATATCCTACCCCTCCCCGCCCAGACGAAGTCACCATATCAAAATGAATATGAACACAAACATGAACATGAACATAAAACTAATATTTTCATATTCAGGACATATCTACTCGGCAATACCTAGGTAGCCAATAGTAAATCCACAAAGGAGATCATTTCATCGCATTGCATTGCATTCAATCCCAAGTTCCTCAAGCAAAAGTATCGCGGAAATCTTATCGAGCCCATCCATCCATACCTTCTCCACCATGCCAAATCCTCATTCCCAAGTCTTATAACCTAGTTTCCCTCTTCCTTAACCATCCAATCCCAACCATTCCATTCCACCCCCTTTACCGTAGAGTCCGCTAACGCACACAATCCATACGCACAAAATATAGAATACTTCCAGATTTTTCTCTCCCTTGAGTTCTGTCCTACCAAAATAAAAATAAAAATGAGACCCACTTTAGACAGTTTCGTTACTCAAAGAACTTCCTGTTTCTGTTCTAGTCCTGGGGAATTCACCGGGGACATGCAATTGGCTGATACTCTGGACGCTTTGATGATTTTGCCCAGCGGCCAAAGTTGGACGTTCGAGATCCTTGGCGAGGGGATCGAGAAGTGCCTCCATTGACCTTGGCTCAGTAGTATCTGTGACAGGTGAGGTAGTTGGGACAGCCGTAGTAGCCGCTACTGTCGATATAGCCGCAGTCTCCCCTGCTTCATTGAACCAAGGGACCGCGCTAATATCGCCCTGGCTACGTCCTCCGGACATGTGTGTGTCAGGTGCAGCAATGGCCGTGGCTTCAATATCTGTTTGTTGCTGTGCCTTGTCGTCGTCATATATATGATCGTCGGGTGCTGCAATCATAGCTGCTTCCATATCCGCTTGTTCTCGGAGTCGGTCCGTGTCAGGGGAGGCTATCATCGTCGCTTCCATGTCTGCTTGCTCGCGTTGTTTCTGGAGCTGGTGATCGTGGTATGCGGCTGTGCCTGCTATGCCCAAAGCGGCGCCGCCTAAGCCTGCGGTAGCGGCAGTGGTAGGTAGCTCATGTTTTTGACTATCACGCGTAGTGTTCATATTCTGAATGGGTTCGTAAGTATAAGGGTTCACACCATCTTCTTCAGCAGCTTGATTTATCATCTGTGCGTGTGTCGGCGACGCGTGGCCAGGGCTCTCTCCATAGTGATGGCCAACACCACTTGCGGGTAGAGCTGCAGCGGTAATCACTGCATCATCTGCTTCACCTCCAAAAATGGAACTTCCGCTAGAAGGCGAAAGAGGAGCCTGTAAGCCACGCGTCGCATTAATTTTTAGATCTGATGGAAATCTCCCACCTGGTTCAGGACGCTTTTGTTCTTGTTTGAGTCCTTGAGTGCCTACAATGGCTGATGTATGTGCCGAAAATGGTTCTTCGTCCTCCTCGTCCATAACACCGTCGCTGCTGATGGAACCAGCTCGTTGTGATGTACCACTAACGCTGCGGGCATGCTGACGCACAAACGCATTACGTTCTTGTGGAGACTTTTCCGTCAAAGTCTTGATGTCTTCGTACCAAGCGAGTAGAGTATCACGTGTTTCCGCTCTGAAAACCCAAGAGTGTCCGCGATGTAATGCTCCAGTTTGACGACCTTTGAGTATGAATTTGTTTGAGGATCCTCCCTCATTCGAGTGAGAGCCGAGTTTTTGCTCGGGGAGATAGAGAGACATGATTGGCGCTCCGATTTTATCCGCAGAGCGAAACTCATGCAAGTGAGTAGGAGAAAGGACGTACCAGCCAGCACTAGAATTGAGATTAGTACAATACATATTATGGGTATCACTTTGAATCAATTTCTTACGTGTAAGACTAAATTAGAGTTAGCAGAAGATCGTGGAACTTGGGCATAGTGGGAATTACCTTTAGGAACTTGGACTTTCTCTCAAGGAGACCCTCTCTAATGCACCCAGCAAGCTCGTTGTCCTGTCCAGGATATCTTATAATCTCTGGTGTTCGAATAGGAAGCTTTGGATCAACAAAATGTTCATCATTTTCGACAAATGCAGTCCATTCATGATCTTTTGGCATGGCAATTGGACCCGCGCGTAATTCGTCTACTGCGCTATAGGCACTGTCTGCCTCGCGCTTCAATATACCTGCGAGCGCGTTATAAGACTTTTGGATCTCGCCCACTACAATAGCTTCGAGTTCACGCCCAGAGGCTTCCAAATTGAGATATGCCTGGTTATGTCAGCTCCTGAGCCTCTGATATTTTTTTGGATTTTGAAACATACCTGGTGAAGGTAATTCTCCTCATCAATCTGCTTTTCGACCTGACGATCCACAGCAAGCCTGAGTAAGTATGGATCATGCTTGCCCGTCATTTGAGAAGGATCAATGTCTGATTGACCTAAACCATCTTGCAATGCGGCCACAGCCTTTCGAGTCGCTTCCATCTCCTTATCCACGGAATTTTTAAAGTCGCCCGATAAGCCCTTGATCTCCTTGATCTTCTGTTGCAAATCGCTACGCAAGCCAGTCAAGGCAAGAATAACATCTTGCTCGATATCTCTGGACTTGTTTGCCTCTGCGATTGCGGATTTATGATAATTGCGAAGAATCTGGAGGGCGTCGTCAATTCCACCTGTAGGTAAAAAGACGGCGGGCGCCGTGGTATTGTTAATAACATTCGAGACCTTCAAAAGACTCTTTGATCTGTGCTCATATTGGCTTTGGATTTCTTTGAAATAAACGATAAGATCCTTAAGGACTTTACGCCAAGCTGAAAGTAGAAGATAATGATTAGCATATTGTCGCCGATCCAAAGCTATGGTGAAATACCTTGAAATCGGTTTGCCAAAATATCCGTGGGATTTCCGGTTGTGGGTACTGGAGAATAGAAAGCACTATGTGCCTCGTCGATATCACCTTGTGGATGAACCACCAAACTGCGAACACTCCCCGCCCTGGAACTTCGTTTACTCCCGCTTCTTTTTAATGAAGCTTTCTTTTTAAGAGTTCCCCCTCTGGAAGGAATCAAGGTATCGCCTTGCGACATGACTGAATGTGATCGATGCATATTGCCGTCTACTATTGAGCTTCCTCGTTGACTCGCATCCCACTCCTCGTTGAATCTTCCGTGTGAATTTTGAATACTCGTATGAGGATCGTGATCGTTTGAAGCGTAGTCTAATACTGCAGGACCTCCTCCGTTGATGATTTGAGATTGTGGATGTGCTCGTGGGGTACTTGCAGCGCCGTAACCTCGATCGTTGTATGATTGCGCGGGGGCAGGAATTGCAGAATTTGTGCCGATGGTAGACATGATGAATAGATTAGGGCAAAGGACGAGTCGTGAAAGGAAAGGGAAGGGAAGGGACGGGACGGGAAGGAAGAGAGAGAGAGAGAGGAAGGGAAGGGACGGCAGGGAAAGTAGTAGTAATTGAAGGTGGTAAGGAAGATTGGTGGTAGTGGTAATGGTAATGGTAATGGTAATAATGGTATGGGGGATTTGATCGTTGACGTGACGTAGGGGGAGATCAAGCTAAAATGGGTGGGTTGTGGACTAATAAGGGACCCAAGACATCAGATACTCAGTAGAGTAGCACAAACAATGGACGGAAATTTACTAGTCAAGGGAAAGAAACCGGAAATTCCAAATTCCAAATTCCTCGAGATTTCAGATTTCGGATTTCAGATTTACGAATCAAATCAATTGAGTTAGCGATTTGGGTTGTATTGATACGTTTCTTATATCTCTGAATGTTGTTCCATTCTTTTTGGTTTTCAACGAGAATAGATCACCATGATGGCTGATATATCGTCGCAGGCATGAGGTATTGTGGAAGATGATCTAGAATTGAGGAGGGGAGGGGTGAAAGGATATATTACTACCAGGTAATTAATGTAGGTATGACAAGCAGGTGGTCACTCCTTCATGGGATTTAGCGATCAGTCTACTGGGGATCTAGGTATGAAAGCGAATAATACCTGGGTTAGTAGGATAAAGAGAAATACTCATCAATAGATACGGCTGTAAGGCTTCTATGTAAAGTAGAATAATAAATGATTATATATATATATCTATATATGTTTATCTTATACTTATCATGAAAAGTACGAGTGTACGGAGTACTAGGCATATACCTACTAGGTATATCTCTAAAATCTTGCACAGGTATTAGGCGTGTAATATGAATCCACGAAAGAGAAGGACGGGGATGTGGACGGAGATGGAGATGGAGATGGATACTGAGGAGTAGTTGATCAATTATTCAAGACGCTTATCTACGAGTATGTAATAGGTAGATACTGAATACTACCTACCTAGGTATATTGTTTTATGATCAAAATCCGGAAATTATACATCGATAGTTATATTACAAAAGTTTACAGTCGAGAATCATACCTACATAACCAGGATTCATTTTTCCCTATGACGTGAATTTTATAATGATAGAGAGGACAGAAAGGAAAGAAGAAAGAAAGTGGAAAAGGCATGACCTTCATTCGTCAGTCCCCGTCCTCCGTAAGTAGATACTAGGTGTGGTAGGAGGTAGGCTCGAGGGAGGGTAAGATTACACACGTAGATACGTACTAAATAGGCCAATCTCAATTTAACAGATAGGACCAATCAGAGGGTTCATCGAAGGGTCAAATTAATACCCAATACGCCAATCATCAATCAATCAATCAATCAATCAATCGTATCTAGGGAAATCGGAAAGAATCTTGTTCTTGTTCTTGCTCTCGCTCTTGCTCTCCTCCTTTTTGCTCTTGTCCTTGATTTCCCCATCCAGCTTCGATCGCAGACAAATCATTTGTGAAGATCCCTCCCTAGAAAATGATAACATTATCATTCATTGGTACTAGTGCGACACAGGGACATACATCACATCGTATATCACTTTTGAGACATTTGCATCGCTGAGGGAGTAGAGACTAGAGAGAGACTAGAGAGAGACTAGAGAGAGACTACCTACATAGAGACTAGACATTTCTCATTGGTCACTGATTACTCATTGGGTACCAGGGTACGAGAATCTAGTCAAGCTTGCAAGTTGCAAGTTGCAAGTTGCATACCAGCCTGCTACCAGCCGACAACTTGGAGCTACTGCAACGGCTACATGATAACAATTAATATAAGAGATCTCATCATGTGAGGTGCATCACTACTACTGACTGCCTGACTGTACTGTACATCATCTACTGACATCTACTGATTGATAGTCATTCAAAATGCTTCCACAGATATTCCATTTCCTTCCTTTCTCATCTACCTAGTACTTATTAACCTATCCAGAGTATACTGTCGACATATCCCTCGGTCCCTACTCGAGTACTAACTACATGCTTGGTCACGGGATACCTATCTCTTCCTTCTTCATACAAATTTGACATCACACGGTGACCAAGTTCAGATCCTTCTCATCTCATTTTATCATGTTCGATTATATACCATGGTCTATCTTCTTGATCATTCCTTCATTCCTTCATTCAAATCATCGTATCATAAACGTTCGAGTACTACTACCTGTCCCTCCATACCTAGAAGACCAGGCAAATATAATAACAAATCATCACTCGAGCACCAACGTGAGAAATGAAGAATGGAGTGACTGGCCCCATACCAATTTGCGTGCCATCATCAAAAGGTCTCGTGCGATCATGTGCTTTACTATATTGAGTCTAGCACAGATGATCTCCCGATAAATCATCCCTACTCATTTTTGGCTTCCCCGCAAATGGATCGATATTTCACATTTCATTGTTCCACTTTCTTTTCCTTGAACCACATCGGAATTACGGGAGAAGCTGGGAGAAGGTCGAGAGAAGGGACTGGTGGACCATGTTAAGACAAAGTCTCGAAATATCACTCACCATATCTAACGGGATAACGGCGTCAGGGTGTTCAAGATAGGAGTATCAAATCATCAGAGACACTTCATGAAGACCCCTTTCTTTGGGAAAAGTCACTCGAGACTCGAGACTCGAGAGTCAAAGGCTTGAGGCTGGTTGGTTGGCGTACTCGAGGTACTCTACATCTACAAGCTGCTGGAGCGGATTGAATATCGCTAACAATTCCTTCTAGGATCCGTCGGATATCAAATCTTCACAAGAGAAGCAACCATAGATTAATCATTTATTTTCCAATAATTTCATGTCCGTGTCATCCTTACAAATTACCCAATACCCACCTACTTATTACAGCAGTTGACCCACGCCACGAAAGTACATCCATCGTATTGGAATTGGAACCCTTGATCTTTTCAAGATGCTTTAAACCATTCGCAACGGCTTGACCTCGGGAATCGGGTTACATAACTTTAATTTTCATCGTCGTCCAAGTTCCATCCATCACTACGTACTCAGTGCCTCATTAGCTAAACCGCTTGGATGTCACAACAACTGCCGTGTGGAAACACCTTGCGGATCCCACTTCTGCTTCAATGATTTCAATCTCTTTAAACTTTCCTCTACTCAATATTATCGCTGGATAGGATCTGTGCGATTGCAATTTGCACAACAACCCCAGTCTTCCTCAGCATGTCCATCGCTCATAGCTGAAATCGCTTTGTTCTCGAAGTCAAGAACATGTCGTGGTTTTTTGCTCCATGGCACCAGAGAAACAGTTGCTAATAACCAAAAAAAGAAAAGATCCAAACTTGTGTCGTGACATGTATGAGGATGGATATCACTTACAGTCAGCCACAAATGAACGTGCTCATTACCAAATGCCCAATTGGCTGGTGACAATTCTGATATTCCGGTATGCCACTCGAACACATGACCAGCAGCCCCAGCGTCGGGGCAGGTGGCCAACAACTCTTTGTAAATTTCGATAACTTTCATGAAATTTGGGCTTCTGAAATCAGGAAACCCTGTCAAGTTGAACTGTTTGAGATATCCCTTAGCACAGGCGAAGTCCAAGTGGTCGCTCGAACTAGGGTAGTAAGGGTCGATGCCAATGGCATAGTCGGATTGAGACCTGTAAGAGGTTGGAATGTGAGAGGTTCTTCCGTCGGATCTCCGCTAAAGTCGAGACTGTTATTGAGCGTTCTAGTAGGCCTGTACATATGCACATTTCGCCGGTGTTCTTTTACACACATAGCTAGTGCACATGCGTATAAAGGGCGGGAGAAGATCCAGGTCGGATGAAGAATCACATAAATAGGGTGCAACAGCGATCATTGGCTGAAATGCCGGGGGGTGCCATTGCCATCATGACCCCAGCGGCGTCATACTTCGTGGTGACTATCAATCGTTCCATCACCCTGCATACTTCCTCCGTACTATTTGAACAATACAAAGATTGCCGATCCAGTGTGCCCTTGATGGCGACCCAAAGATTGACTGTGGATATGTCTTTAGAGTCAACTCTACCATGACACCAAACATCTAGCCTGCGCCTTTGATCGCCCATAGGAGTTCGGGCCCAACATCTGTACTCGCGTGTATAAGAGTACTATCGGCCGGATTATTTTGCCGCTAGTATTTGATTGCACCCGAAATCCGTTGTACTAGTCCAAATACTAATATCACCTCCGAGGCAGAATAGAACAATACAAACGGTGTTGCCTTTACCACGTACTAGGATCAGATGTTAACGACACAACATGAGATAACTGTCGAGTGGTACTTCAAACCGCTCTCTCAAGCGGTGGTTCCTTTTGGGCATGATGATTCTAGCTTATATACCGACGCTGTGGCTTTTGCACCGACGGTTGGGGATCTTTGGCAAAGCACTGATGAGCTGGCGCTCAACAGCACGTAAGTCTGTCATGTTATCTAATACTGGCGTGGAAGTAGAATGGCTGGTTATTTTAGGCATATGAATCTTGCATCAAATGATCCTGTTCAAACCGTTTATGGGTCCGGTATTCAAAAATTGCAGATTCAGAAGACAGTTTATGACCCATTTAGTCGATTTAGTCAATTCCTTCCGCTGTAGAGTTTACTTTAGTTACTTGAGCGCTATTCTGGCTATACATTTTCTTGGAAGGTTACAAGATGGAGGTATCTAGTTCACATCATAATACATACCAGCTTCTAAAAAGTTCGCTCGCTTCAATACTTAATCGCCAATATTGGTGACGTAAAAGAGTTTAATTATAGTGTGCCACCAGGCATTTCACCGCCATTCCCTTCATTTCGCCTACATTTAAACCTATCTGTACAACTCTGTAAGTTGTGTAGTATGACCTAGGCCCCTGAAACTTCAGTTGCTGCTTGATTCTGTACGACCATGCAAGTGATCCCATTCAGGCCCAATGATATGAGATTCTTAGACCATTCGATAAGTATAATGCACAGATGTGTGGCTTTTACACTGGAAAATTCACTAGTATGAGGTGGCAGGCTATATTTGTACGCCGGCAAAAAGCAGGTCCATAGCAACAGTTGCAACCAACATTATATATTGTTGTATTTTGGATAGCTTATAGCCTGAAGTCTGAAGTGTCATACCAAGCTAGCTTTCAAATTTTAAGATTACATACTCGAATTATTCGCCGATCGTTTTCACGCAGTATTGTTCTCAATAAGTATGAAGACGTCAATTCAGAGTTCGAACGATGGAAATGAACCACTCGGCGTCCTTATAATCGGAGGCTGCGGCTTTGTGGGTTACCACCTTGTGTGTCATTTTGTTTCGAATTCGAATCTTTCTCCTGTAGCCGTCGCCAGTCGTTCTGCCAAACAAAGCAAAAATCAAGTGAGTGGAGCGACTTACCACAATGTTGATCTTACCGATGCCTCTTCGATCGAGAAATTAATCGATAATCTCAAACCTACAGTCATTATGCACGTTGCATCTCCATCTCCCGTGACAGGGACAGCGAATGATTACGACAGGGTAGCGATCCAAGGCACGAAAGATCTTCTCCGCATCGCGAAAAAGTCGAAGAATGTACAAGTGCTTATTTACACCTCATCTTCACTTCTTTGCAGCGGATCAAAACACGTAAATCTTACCGAAGAATCTCCTCTCGCCGACAGCGATCCCAGAGCGCCTGCATATGCAAGAACTAAAGCACAGGCAGAGAAATTAATCTTGAGTGCAAACAACCCCTTGCCACTAGACGACTCTAAAGACAAAGCCTTCTCATGCGAAGGTTATCTTTGCACAGGCGCTCTGCGATTCCCAATTATCTACGGAACGCATGATCCGATATGTATACCCGGTGCGTTGAACGCCCTGGAAAAGCGCAGAACAAACGTGGTTCTGGGCGATGCCAACAATCTCTGGAGTTTCTGCAGTGTCCAAAATGCAGCATCTTCACATGTTCTACTTGCGCGAGCTCTCCTTGACACGCGCCAGCGAAAATCCTCCAATCTCACATCGGCAGACGGAGAAGCATTCCATATCCACGATGGCGAAGCACGGAAGTTCTGGGGGTTCGCAAGGATGATTTGGCAATTCGCGGGCTACACATCGAACGATGAGCGGATTTACCATTTGCCAACGTGGTTTGCGTTGGCTCTTTCGTCGGTATTGGAATTTGTGTTTTGGATCTTTACATATGGGAGGAAACGACCGTATCAGTTGGGGAAACAGCAGGTGGAGTATGCGCTGTTTGAGCATACGTATTGTATTGAGAAAGCGAGGAAGGTGTTGGGGTATGAGCCGATTCAAGATTTTGAGGAGGGGGGTAGTAAATGGAGGATGATATGTTTCTATCAGAATTCTAGGTTTTGTACATGGGGCGGTTTTTTATGAACTCAAAAACAGATTTGGTGGTTTACCTGAAGATTTGTCTTTCTCGCTCGCGGAGCTACTCTCAATACAATGGCAGCATTCGAAATCGGAGTCTTTTTCTAATCGAACAGACATCGAATCCTCAATATCTACATATCACAATTGTGCAGGGAGGACTTTTGATAGTATTAGCTTCTGCAATATAATTGATGGAGGTTTACAATACACTAGACACCAACCGACCAAGAGAAATATTATTTTACCATGCTTGCTTCCCTATCAGAACCGTGCGGCGTAATGAGGCACATGTCTCAGGGTCCAATGGCTAGTCTAAAGCAACAAGATACCAACAGCCAACAATCAGTCGGCAGATTCACTTTATTAACTACCAATGGAAGTCGTAGAGCGTGTAACAATCTCAAGCGAATCATAAATTAGATGCCATGATATTTTACATGCCAACACATTTTCTTCATATAACCACAACCTCCAACTTCTCCACGCCCAACAAGTTGAATGTATCAAACGTGATATCAACCACCTAACTCCTAACAGAAACTTTCAGGAACGCAGACAATGGCAACTGTAGAAATCTATTTACTCTTCGCTATCATAGGAGTATCTTTCACTCTCCTAACCCGGGCTTTCTGCCGCGGCTCTAGCAGTAACTCTCGAGAGCCCCCAGAAATCAAACCAACCATTCCATACATCGGTCACGCCCTCGGTCTCTTCTGGTACAGAAGTGCATACTATACCAAAATTTGGTAGGTCCTACTCCTTCCCGCAGAGAGCCCAACGTCCCGTAAAGCAGTACACGAGTGCTGACTCGCGCCCCATTGGATGTATAGCCAAACATGGAAAGCACCAATCATTTCGATCCCTATGTTTGGCGGAAAAGTGCACATTGTCGGCTCTCCAGAACTGATAAGCTCTCTTCAGAGACAGGGCAAGACCGCTTCTTTCTGGTACCTGGAGGCCCGGTTCACAGCTGAGCTGGGAGGGCTGAGCAGAAATGGGATGAAGAAATTGGTTGCCAATCTAGAGCCAGCGTCTGAGAAACCTAGTCTCTTGATAGAGGGATTGAAAGCCACACAGCAGGCAATCTCCCCTCTGGGCGGAGTTGACGACATGATCCGTGTCGCGGCAGAAAATATCCAGGCCCGTCTTGACAATTTAGCAAGTGAAACAGGTGACATCAAGTTAACTACTGATCTTTGGGCATGGGTTCAGCATGAAATCACGGTTGCCACGACGGAAAGCGTCTACGGCCCCGAAAATCCGTATCGAGATTCAAAGGTGGAAACTGGGTTCTGGTATGTTGTGCTTGAACAGCTTATATTTACCACACTAAGCTAAGCTTGATATAGGGACTTTGCCAACGACAATGTCACGCTCTTGTTGACAAAGCTTCTCCCGAATTTTGTTGCCTCCAAAGCCATCAGAGGTCGAGCCATAGTGGTAGAGGCAATGAGTCGTTACTTTACTAAAGGCGCCCAAAAGAATGGTTCATCGCTGGTCAAAGCAAGATACGCAAGTCTATCGCCCGAGATGAGCCACGACGACCTTGCCAGATTCGAGTGTGTCGATGGCATTGCAATAATGACCAACACGGTTCCTGCCGCTTTCTGGACAGTCTTTCAAATATTTTCTGATCCCGAGCTTCTTAAGCAAGTTCGGGATCAAGTGCGAGAAATAACAACCACCACGCAATCGCAGGAGACGGGTATTTTGGAACTCAAGATCAACCTTCGCAGGCTAAAAGACGCACCAATACTCTTCTCTGCTCAACAAGAAACCTTACGGTTCCGAGCTACAGGCACACAACCGCGTATGGTTATGGAAGATATGATCGTTGGAGATGATGAGTATCTCCTGAGGAAGGACTCAATGGTGATCATAGCCAATAGAGCATTACACTATGATAAGAAGACCTGGGGAGAGACGGCCGATGTATTTCGCGCGCATCGTTTTTGCGGCAAGGTTCCTGGACATGCTTTCCGAGGCTTCGGCGGAGGGATAAATTTGTGTCCCGGACGAGGGTTTGCTATGGCAGAGGTGGCGGCGCTTGTAGCAATGTTAGCAATGAGGTTCGACTTGGTACCAGTAGGGGGAAATTGGGTTGAGCCCGGCCAAGATCTCAATAACATGTCTCTTCAGGTTGCTCCGCCCGGGAGGAAAGTGATGGTCAGTATAGTACCCAGGGAGGGATCAGGGGGACAGAAATGGTCTTTTGAGTAGATCTAGACTTTTAACACACAGCTATTACTGTATGACTCCTATTGATTGATGTAAGATATTGGCTGCTGGCATCAATTGGCGAGGAAGCGATTCGGATGGTTGAAGATGACATAGATTCAAACTTAAATTTTACAACAATAGCAGTTCTAATTAATATTTTGCCCAGATTGGAACATTAAATGACTGGCCATTCCAGTAAAATACTAACATTGTAATCTTATACTGTAATCGAAAATAGAAAATCCCAAATCCCAAACCACCGTTCCAGCCGCCCTTTTCCTTTTCGCTTACATAGAGCGCATCAACAGGATTCGAGAATACGATCGATAGTAATACATCAGATCGCTTCATTTGAGTTTAGCATTTATATAGTCCCTCGATTTTCAATCTACATTTGCTAACAATGTTCATTTTGAGACACTTAAGAAGTGGACAAGGGCCAGCGTTATTCCTGACTCCAGCATTCTGTTATTCTTGCTCTGCGTAGCTTCCATTGGCGCTTTTGCATCCCCAGACTCACTAATTACTACACGCGACTCTTCAACATCTCAAAGCATAATGACTGATGGGATCCAGAGAACGAGGGAGGATAGAAAGCTGATGATGGACCAAAGGACGAAAGGGAGAATTGCCAGAAATCCCAAAATCCACCTAGTATCTCAACGAATAAGCTAGCGCTACAAAATTTGTGCATAGATGGAAATGTGGTAGCATTTGACTACCGAGCTTCTGAGTAGGCGTTCCATACATCCCGGCTTGTAGTAATTGTAGATACCACTAGAAACGTGTGTTCTCCCAATTCACCACCTCGATACGAGTCTCGGCTTGCGAAAAGGGCAACAAGCGGAAGCAAGATGAGATAAAACAAAAAGAACATCATCTCTCCGTAGAGAAACACCTGCCAAAGGCTCCACTTCAATCCAAGTATTGTCAAGTGAATACTTATTCACCTTCCCTCCATCCCTCACCATCCGCTCTCTGTTTCCCACCATTCAACATTCACTACAACCACCCTC